AGTCGAGGTAACATAGATTTAAGTCTCGAAACAGAGCAGAGGGTGCAAGGCAATACCAGGAACATTACTCCAGTACAACATCGCTAGGCTGCTTATAAGCTTTGAGGTTCATCACATTTTCCTTAGAATGAATCTTACCATCAAGATGACCAATGACATAGGAGTTGGGTCCCGCTTGTTGTAACACAGTATACGGTCCATCATACAGTAAAAAGAATTTAGAAATTAGTTTAGCTTCGGCGGACGAATGAGGATGCGTTTTAACTAGAACCTTATCGCCCGGGTCAAAAGTAACAGGTTTCATCACTTTAGCCCTCTTTACCCTTTTTGCAGCCTCCCTCTTCAATTTTTCATACGCCACACCTGTATCCTCCTTCAATGTCGTACAGTTTACATCGAGCGCTCAGCAAAAACCACAAACTTCCGTGCGGGAATCGTGTCGATCTGTCCAAACTGTAAATATATGGGTGCAAAACCTGTGCTTAGGTTAACTGCTCGACTGAGACAGCTTTCGATATCCGCTAGTTTGTTTGGCCATGCGGAATGCCCATCGTAGCAATAGGTTCTCAACATACGTCCGATCTCACGATTATAACGTTCCGTTGGATTACCCTGGGGAAAATAACAAGAGATAAACTTAAGTTGTATACCCGCCACCTCTAACTGCTTTCTCCAAATATGACTCGTGAACTGAGTTCCATTATCGAACAAAATGGACGCAGGTTTCTGTACTGACGGAATGTAGTCATCGAATAAGCGTTTGAGCAACGTTTTCGCAGTAGCCCGACGCAAGGCGTATAACTTGACGAATTTAGTGAAAGCATCGACAAGAACGAAGAGTTGCGTCACACCCCCACGTCCTACAGGTAACGGCCCTATCAGATCTATACAAACCATTTTTCCATGTTCGTCCACCAAAATGGGATGCAATTCCGCCTTGGATATTGGCGAAGGTTTGGCCTTCTGGCACAAGTCGCATGACGCGACCACCTGCCTAACATGCCGTTGCATGCGAGGCCAATAAAAACTATGTCTCATATAAGCATATGTTTTTGCCTTACCAAAATGCCCCATAGACTGGTGATGCGCTAAGATAAGCTCTTTGACCTGAGCCTCAGGTACGCAGAGCTTATAGCCCTTATTGCGGCTATCGCCCCTCTTGAATAAAAGTCCTTCGTGCAGCACGTACCATTCGTAAATTTTAAATTCGCGTCCTGAGAATACCCTAACATAGCGAGTGATAAGTTCTAAGAACTTGATATTTTCCCTAATCCATTCATCATCCAACTGATCAGGCCTCAAAGTTTTAAAATGTTTCTTAAGTTCCGCAAAATCGCCACTCAACCTCATTAACGAAATTTGCGCATTTCCGTTAGAACCTGGAACACCCTTTAAAGGATGCCGCGACAAAGTGCTAGAACCATCGTGCGCCACAAACGTAAACAAGAGACAACCCGCCAAGCTTCCTTTTCCGTTACGGTGTAATTTAATTGACTTCCTTTCAAAAGGGAACTCATGAAGCAAACATATTGTTTCTCCCCCGTATCGTTAATCTGGTAATGACTGCTCCCCACGGCATATGCGGAACCATCGCATTGAATATAAAAAGTGCGCTTAAAATCAGGATGAACACGTATCATGGACTTTAGGAAGGCCGACTTATTAGCCCTAAAACTCTCCATTTCATCGCTTCCCCAGCGCCATTTTTCTCCTTTCTTCAGCAACTTCAACAATGGCACGGTCAATTCGGCATACCCGGCGCAGAATCGATGTTCATAATTGACCAGACCCAAGAACCCTCGCAGCTCTCTTGTATTTCGTGGAACAGGAAAATCAGAAATATTTTTGACACGCCCCTCGTCTATTTCGATTCCCCTTGAGGTGATCACATGACCTAGAAAATGTACCTTTTCGCTAATAAACGGACATTTTCTTAGTTTAATTGTAATTACGGCATCACTAAATCTCTGAAAAATCGTCTTCAAATGCCTTAAATGATCCGCTATGTTCTCCCAGTAAATTAATAAATCATCAACATATGACTGCGCGAAATCATTACAGCCCTCCAATTTCTTATTTAAGCATCGAATAAGACTTACCATGGAAGTAGATAACCCAAATGGCAATCGACAAAAACTATATGTTTCACCCTCGAACACAAACCCAAGATATTTGGTATGATCCGGCAATACTGGAATTTGCCAATATGCTTGCGTCAAGTCTATTGTGCTTATAATTTGCCCCTGTTTAAAATTGGCCATTAATTCGATTGGGAGGATTCACGAAATCCTTCTTCATCTTTGTGTTCAGCCCCCGAGCGTCCAAACACACGCGAATATTCCCATCCCTTTTCTTCACGCAAACTAACGGCGAAATGTAGGAAGTTCTTTCCTTTTGAATAACACCGGCCGCTAACATTTCACCAATCCGCCTTCTAAGTTCATCCCGATGAACCATAGGAACAGGATAAGCCACAAATTTAAATTCATTTTCATCCACGAGCTCAATTTGATGAAAATAATTGACGACGCATCCCGGTGTATCAGAGAATGTATTCCTATATTTTTCCAAAATACTTAAAAGTGAAGCATTAGCACTCCCACTCAAAGTATATAGTTTTCGCTGCTGCTGCCTGAATATCCTCCGCACTGTAGCCTTTGCTGCGGGAATCACCGTCATCAACGCTGTACTCTACCAGTGGCGTAACCCTGCTAGATTTATTTTCGACTACATCAAATACATAATCATTTTTCTCGCAGAGGTTTATAGATATTTTCTGCGGATCAATCCGGAATGACAGCTTCGTATTTACGGAAACCCCTTCTATCATCAGCTTCAGCAGTGAATATTGATAATCCAAACGTGCTTGATGCTTGGATAACCAATTTGATCCAAATATCAAATTGAAATTGAGTTGTGGAATAACCAAACAGTTCACATCCATATCTATTCCTTCTAATTGAACTGGAATCAAGATTTGCGACTTTGTCTTCTGCGTTTTACCGCCTATTGCTACAGAGATCACTCCTCGTATGACCGGTAAAATTGGAAATTTCCCGAGATTGCTTAACTCTGAATAGAATTTCTCCGAGATTGCGTATATATCTGAGCCGCTGTCGATCAATACTTCTACCAACGTACCATTATTATGTATCGATATGGTCGGCGAAACTGTTTCATGATCCTGCACTATATCCTCCGGGTCGCTTAAAAGATCGATGTCTGGATCCCCCATGCAAACCAGTGAACGTACGGTATGTCTCTCATTATTTCCCTTAGCGGTCGGCCGCGTATCTCTTGATATCTCTCGCTCGGAATTTGTTCGATTATTTTCAGATCGATTACTATAACCCTGCGCATTATTCATGTTCCTATTCGAACCGCCCACAGTAGACAATTCATCAATATGTCTCAGATATTCCTCTACCGTATATATAATCATGCCCCGCTGAACTTCCATATCAAAATGTTTTACCAACATTCCAATTACATTCTGCATCGGAATTTTATTATCAAGAAACTTTGCTTGCGCCACCAGATTCAAGAAATAATCTGCTCGACTGCCATACGAGTGCGTACCGTAGACCAAGGTCATATACAACTCTCGTTGTTTTTCAATGCTCCAGAATCTATTTTTAAACGCTAGACGAAATGAAACATAGTCGGCAAAACAATCCTCCTTAACGCTAGCCCAATGGGCCGCCGAAACTCTTAAGCAACCAACAGCTAAACCCAACTGCGCATGCTCAGGAACACCTGCATCGCTAAAAAGGTATTCAATTTTCTTTAAAAATAGCATTGGGTGCATTTGCCCATAGTTTGAAAATGTGACATTACCACCCCCTAACTCTTTCTAGTTCATTATATAGGATCTATCTTTAATTACAGTCGAACAATCATCTATTCCTTTAGAAGTACAAACAGTCTCCGGCACTGTCTCTATTCCAGACATCAGGCCCTCATATCGTGTGTCGGACATTGCCACCTTCTCAACTAGTTGCTCTACCGTACTCTTTAACTCTGTCACTAATATTGCCAAATTTCTAACTAAAGACTCAAGGTCCTCCTGCACCTCCTTTGTACTCTCTGCCCTGCCTCTCCGCGACTTTCTGCTAGACATTTCTACAGCTTACCTAAACGACAAATCGTTACAATCCTACCTTTTTTTTACAATGACTGTTTCAACACAGTAAATTATCGTTCATATCCCCCTCTGCTCCACCAGCTATCTCTTAACGCCTCACTGCTTCTCTACCAGCGCCTCGGTGCTCGTACAGAACCCACCAGCAGCATACCGTTGGTGATACTGCAATATGTCGTATGTCACAAAAATTGCAATTTTTTGTTTATATATCCATTGTAACCAAAATACAGTCCTCTATGCCCCTGCAAAATGTTGTATATGAAATTTGAACAGGTACCCTGATTGTTTACACATACAAATATGTCGTATGTTTTTCTTGACAAAACTGGATACTTCAATATGCCGTATGTCAGAATCATGCTCTCCGTCTATGTCGTAACGCTACACAATTGGATATTTCGATACGCCGTATGTCACTTAAATTATTATACATTTTAGGTTAGCTGCAAGCAGTAACGTGTCAGTAACAACTAAATGTGAGTTTTGTGATAGTTTTTTGAGTTTACATGGTGAGTTTGTTGTTATTTTCTTAATTTAAACTACAAAAACGTTATAGTGTTTGTAGTTTTTAGTCAAGAAATACCATAATTAACAAAAAAAACAACAATATTATTTTGTATAACCTTAATTTTTTCTGAATAAATATATTATATCAAAACGGCAAGTAAAATTCACGTAGGTTATTTATTCCTTTTCTCTTTAATGATATGATTTATTGTAGTAATTAATCGATTTTTTTGAACACTGTGTGACATACGATATTTTACATTCCAAATTTAGCTTTTATTTAGTATTATTTCTGTTTGTTAAGTATTGACATACAACATATTGCATCTTTGTTTTTTTTTATTTTCAGTGAATCCATAATGTCAAACAGAGCGCGACTGTTGGTGGAACTAGCTCGAAATTCAGCATCTAGTGCAGTAGCCTCTCACCAAGTGCCCAAAGACGATAACATTAACAATTTTGCGACCCAATTGAACGATGCATCAGATCCTCAAAGAACAGAGAGCATGGTTCAAGTGTCAGTTCAAGATCTATTAGGAAATGCAGAATTGGTAGATAATCCAATTTTAACAGTCCTAGAAGTGGCAGAAATCCCAAAAGAAACATCGCATTCCAAAACTGATGAAAAGTTATATTATTTGGAACAAAACACAGATTCTGATAGTGGTATTGTACCAATAATTGACTATCAGGAAGAAGTTGTAGCAGATAAAGAAGAGGTCCATGATGCAACTTCAGATACTGAAAGACATTCAGAACCAGATCCATTTCAGGAAAGTGGCAGCGAGTATCTGCCAACAGATACTGACTCAGAAAATAGTTTAGGAAACGAAAACGTTGAAAACCAAGGAGGTGGAAACCAAGAAGATCGTCGGTCACCGGATGGAAGAACAAAAAAACGTAAGAGTAAAGGGCAAAGAGATCCATCGCAATGGAAACGAGCAAAAAATTCGCAAGCGAGACTTAAAGGCCATGCATACATGGGATTTCAGAAAAATACTGGAGGCAAGTACCAGCAAACAGTCTGTAGAGTTCAGCGCAAAGTAAAGCCGTCATGTGGGGGACACAAAAATGACTCTAAGGGACCACAACAAAAATTTGAATGTTTGCAAATTACAAATGAAATGCGTAATCAAATATTTCAATCTTTTTGGGAAATTAGTTCTTGGGAAGGTAAAAAAATTTATGTAAGTACTGCACTCTCAGCCCAAACACAGAAGACGAAACACTGCAGAAGAAGAGTCTCGAAAGAAAACAGGGTTTAAATATTATTTAATAACTAAAGATAATCCAGAGTCTACCAAAAAATATCACGTATGCAAGAAAATGTTTTTAGCCACTTTAGGTATTGGAGAAAGATGTGTAAGAGAATGGGTTTTAAACAAATGTTTACCAAATATGGAGCTAGGTATTGAACCGGCTTTAGTAGAGCCACCTCAGGATTCCGAATGCACAAAAAATGTTAATCAATTCTTAGACAGCTTGCCTAAAGTTGAATCGCACTACTGTCGAGCATCCACTAGGAAACTTTATTTGGAACCCACTTGGAATAGTTACAGACATTTGCATCGTGAGTTTATTAACTATTGTGAACGTCAAAACCTAAGATCTTGTTCTTGGAGACTTTTCTATAAAACTTTTAAGACAAGAAATTTATACACCTCGTAAGGACCAGTGCAACACATGCGTGAAGTTTAAAAAGGGAAATTTAAGTCAAGCAGATTACGATAGTCACGTTGCCAAGAAAGAACAGGCACGGTCAGAAAAAGAGCAAGACAAACAAGAAGCTATCTCATCAGAGGCAGGAAACTCAAAGTATGTCTACACTATGGACTTACAAGCTGTTCTTCTTTGTCCTTTTACCCAAGCCTCCGCCATGTACTATAAACAAAAACTGAAGGTTCACAACCAAACATTTTTTAATCTTAATAACAAAGATGTGTCTTGTTATTTATGGCACGAGGGAAATGGAGGTTTAGACAGCGATGTTTTTGTTTCCATTTTAGTAAAGTTTCTTAATGAAGAGATAGAAAGGCAGAGCCCGAAGGTAATAATCCTATGGAGCGACGGTTGTACCTACCAAAACAGAAATGTGAATTTGTCAAATGGTTTGCTGGAGATAGCCATGGAAAAAAATATTATTATTGAACAAAAGTACCTGGAGGTAGGACATACCCAGATGGAGGTGGATTCAGTCCATAGTGTAATAGAGAGAAAGCTGGGAAGAAGAAATGATATAGCTGTTCCCGCCGATTATAATAAAATTATAAGAGCGGCCAGGCAAAACCCATCCCCTTATAAAGTAGTGTCTCTGCATTTCAACGATTTTTTGCAATACAAAAAAGGAATGTATTCACAAATTCGACCTGGAAGCAAAAAAGGTGATCCCTGTGTTACAGACATTTGTGCATTGCAGTATCTTCCTGAAGGACTAATAAAATACAAAATAAATTTTTCGGATGAATGGCTCGAACTGCCACGTAGACCATGTCGTACTAGAACTTCTTTCTCTCACGAACCTCTATATTTATCTCCTCGCCAAATTGAGGATACAAAATTCATACATCTTCAAGAATTGAAATCTGTCATAGAATCAGATTACCATGGATTTTATGACAATTTAAAGCACAGCTGCAAGTCTGACCAAGTTTGTTCACATATCAAAAATTAATATATTTTATTCTTTCCTGTTTATTTTAAGATTACATATTTGTTTAGAATTTTTTGTTTAGTTTTTCATTACGTAAATAAAAAGAATAGAACTGTTAAAAATTATTTTTGTGAGATGTATAATGGATTACAAAATTGTCGTATGTGACATAAATATTTCCATTTTCAATGCAATATGTCGTATGTAACGGCATTTTGCTTAATATTCCATTGAACAAAAAAATCGAGTTAAGTACTAATACCCTAATAGAAAAATACATAGTAGACAAAAAATAGCAATTTCAAATTTAAAATTGGTCGATAAAAACATTTTTCTTTCTCTCCTGAAAAATTACCTCTTTTCGACATACGACATATTGCAGTATCACCGACGATACATACCCTCAGCTTTCCAAAAATGAAAATCACTTCTCACCCAGATCTGCTTACTCCTCTTGCAACCGACAACACCGCCTGGCTCGTGCCGCTTGAACACAGCAACGCCTCAACGCCTGTTTCTACGTCACGTCGTGCCGCCAAAATCAACCGTCTTCACCTACGCGTACCGTTTTCGTCGCGTCTCGTTCCTTCTCTATCTAACACCTTGCAACCGTATCGCGCTACGCCGTTCTACTGCCACGAGTTGGGCGCCAAATGAAGTAGATCCGAGCTTACACAATATTACTCAGGGTTTTTCGTGGGTTTCAGTAATAACGACGGCGATATGGCTAACAAACTTTAATGGTAGTGAGGCACAAAATAGTTCACTAACTAAAAAAACATGGAACCCGGTAATCCTTAAATCCGGAAGATGGTCACGTCACCTGTTGCTTCTGTCGGCGGCGAAGGGCAACTGCCCCCTCGCTCGATCTACCACAATTTCGTCCACTGTTGCCGAGTTGCCGCGCACCTCACTGAACCACTACAGCACTGTGAACAAAATTAGACCATGCAATTCTAGGCCCAACCAAAATTACAATTGTCCTACACGTACCAATTCCTAAATCATTTTTTAGATCAATTTAAAATTACTGAGTACTAGTTAAAAACGTCAAGGCACCCCTCCAACAGACGCACTTCCTCCTTGCTCTTCTAACTACCTTCCTTTCTTTCTTCTTTCCTTCTTTGTCTCTGTCTGGTATCTGGACAACCAGACTTGACAGGCCTACTGACCAACAACAAAGGCAAATGTCCCACGGATCGTTCTGACGGACAATGACGAGTAGAAGAAGGTTATGTTATGCCCAATGTATATGTGAGAAAATTATCATTTTCTTAGGGAAAATCAAACACTTCATAACTTGTATCACATGTATTCACTCCAGCATCTGTTACAAGACTGACTATGACTAACCACCTTGCCCACAAAAACACATCGCAGCACATCGGAATATTTACGGTGGCCAGAAGTAAACAAAACATATTCAATAGACAAAACATATTCAATAGACAAAACATATTCGATGGCGTAGCGTAGCGATTCAGCGAAAGGCTCACACGGCCAATCCTGACACTAAATTCGTTCTCGAATTTTACCTCCTGACCCATGTTACAAGAACACCATTTAGACTATATAATGTAGCAAAGAGCACGTCATTTCAACGATTAGACCCTCACGATCTAAACGCAAAGAGCACGTCTTTCAGCTTTTAACGATACATCACTCACTATTGCAAAGAGCACGTCATTTCAACGATCAAGTCCTAATGACCTTGTCGCAAAGAGCACGTCTTTCAACAAGTAGCAAGATTTTATGATCCAGAAAGGTAAAGAGCACGTCATTTCAGCAGTCAAGGTCTCATTACCTTGATGCAAAGAGCACGTCTTTCAACCCAAAACTTTTTTTTTTTTATTTATTTATTTTGTCAGGTTTTTGTAATATCAAGGCTCACACGGTTATAGCCTAACAAATACTTTATAATAACAACAACGTAAATCATAATCATTATTCATGTCTCTAAATATAACATACAACATTCTCATAATACCAACAAAAGAATGTACAAAAAGGGATAAACAAATAACAATGGTTATTAAATGTTATCTTATTCAAATTCACCTGGCCATACCCGCATCATATCATTAGCAACAATTCTTTTGCGATTGGTCGCCAAATTTTTAATTTCTACTCGGTCATTAGGCAACAACTGTAAGATTTCGAATGGACCTTCGTATCTAGGGTCTAGTTTAGCTAGGTGCGAATTTCCAGATGGACGAAAAACTATGTCTCCTACTTTAAAACTGTTAGTTGATTTTCGGCTTTTATCAAATCTGTCTTTTGACTCTAAACCGCAACGCAGAGAGCGTTCATCGGCAGTTTTACGATCATTAATTAAATTTTGATCAGTAGTCGTCACTGGTTTTATACTCTCTGTTAAATTCTGAATGTCCATGGTATCCATAAGTTGCCCTGTTAACAAATAGAGCGGAGAAAATCTCGTGGTTTTTTGGATAGTAGTATTAAGGGTCAGTTGTAACTTGGGGAGAACGCTCGCCCATTCTGACTTATTATTATTGACATTTACTCTGAGCAGGTCTAGAACTGTTGAGACGTATCGCTCTACCTGCCCATTTCCGCGTGGGGCACTTTTGGCAATTAGATGTTGGGTAATGTTTAATTTTGAGAGTAACTCTTTTACTTGTTGGTCGCTAAAATTAGTTCCCCTATCACTTATCAACCGTTTAGTGTTCCCAAAAATATTTAAATAAATTTTTAGGTTTTTACAAGTCTCAGGTCCAGAAAGGGTTTTTAATGGAATTAGAAATAAATATTTCGTGAATGCGTCTATTAAAAGAAGAACATGTTTGTAACCCTCTGATGTTAGAGGGAATGGTCCTACACAGTCGCAATGCACTGTGTGAAATGGAATTGGGGTCTTTTCGATAGGGTGTAATAGTCCTTGTTTGCGCCCAGTGTGTTTTTTATTTACAATACATTTAAGGCAGTGGTCACAATACTTTTTGACGAAACGTGCCATTCGCGGGAACCAGAAATAATGGTTTAGCTTTGCGAAGGTCTTATCCGGTCCAACGTGCGACTGGTCGTCGTGAAAAATTTTTAACAAACCGAGTCTACTTCCCTTTGGAACGAAAGCCCTGTAAATTGGTGGGTTTTGGAAATAGAGTTTTCAGCCATAGGAATTTGATGAAACCCCGCTGCCATATCGAGAGTCGTAAAATACTTGCTTCCCCCCAGCTGATCAATTTGGTCGTCTATACGTGGCAATGGAAACCGATCTTTAATGGTTATTCCATTAAGGGCGCGATAGTCTACGCATAAACGTCGGCTGCCATCTTTTTTGTACACCAGAATAACTGGACTAGCAAAAGGCGACGTGCTTTCACGTATGATATTGTTTTGCAAGAGGTCGTCAATAATATCTTTTACCTTTTCTCGTTCGGACAATGACATTCGGTAAGGGTTATAACAAATTATTTTATCGGTTTTTAATTTGATTTCCATTTCACCGGTTGTTACCGCCCTCACGGAATTACCAACAGTTATAGAATCGCTATATTTTGATAATAATTTCAACAAGGCGTCGAAATCATGTCCATTCAGTGGTGTTTGAATTTTCTCGGGAGAAATTGTTACGTTTTGAATCTTTTTAGATTCTATGTTATTTGTGTCATCGAGATAAATTCTAGACCCACATAAGTCAGTGCAAATTCTGATTCCTTTATGATTAAATAAATCTCTACCCAAAATTGCATCTAATTCCATAACAGAAGTTTCGACAACATAAAAACTAATTTCAAATGCCGTCCCCTCTCTCTCAACTAGTAAATTAGCCCTTTGACAACTTGGTATTGAGTTGCCTCCTACACCCTTTAACATTATGAAAGTTGGTTCGAATAGCAAACTACATTCTGCACCCGTGTCGATCAAACAGTTTACGGTCAAATTTTGTATTTTGAATTTTATGCAAAAGTCATTATCTAGATCTACGCAGAAATAGTTTATTTTGGAGAATCTGGACGACTTCTCTGCTTTATTTTCACTTTTGAAGAAGCATTTTTCAGAATTATGCCCGAATTTCTTACAGATCTCACAGGGTTTCGCAATACCTGGCAGATTATTTGAGCTTCTCGCCTTATTAGTATTATCGAGTTTGAATAATTTAAGCGATTTAAAACAATTTCGGCTGATATGACCAGGTTGTTTACAGGAATAACATATTTTTCCCTCATCATTATGTTTAAACGGATTCAGGCGTTTTGGCGCCCCTACTTGAAGCTGAGAGTCTTGTTTATTAATTTGATAGTTGCTAAGCAAGTTAAGTAAGGTCGAAATGGAATCAACTCTACTATTAAAAGCAGCTGTTTTGACATGTGTGTCCGTTATATCACCAATAACTATCTCAACTATTTGACTATCACTCAAATTAAAATCTAGCGAGTTTAACAAAGATATTTTTTCCTTGCGTACTCACAATATCCCGTGGCTTGGTCACTTCTGTACATACTAGCTTTACGTAACCGCTCACTAAGATTCCTCTTCGCAGGATAAAGCTGACAAAGCTCGGCCCGGAAACTAGCCCAAACTTTATTTGATGGGTGCCAGTTGTCATACCAATCCTTTGCGTCACCTTCCAGGGCACCCGCGGCTCTGCAAAGCTGTTCAAAATCAGTCCACTTGAACGTGGTCGCCAAGGTCTCCATATCATCGCACCAACCCATCGCTCCCGCATCGCTTTTTGAGGGATCGAAAGCTGGAATGTTAATTGGCGCAGAGGGTGCTGGCACCACCGGCGCCGCTGCGGCTTGTTGGGGTTGCTGCTGAATTCCTCGAAGAACTGCAGTTAAAACGCTGGTTAATTCCTCCATTTCGACAGACTTTTAGCACTTAAGTATCACTGCCAAAAGTAACGCTCACTAGGTATATACGCTCAGGACAATGAATTGCTCACGCACGCACACTCGAAATAAGTCAGGTTGCACTATGTATTTCTTCTGTGGTCCTTTTAGCGAGTTGAATCCCACTTCTGATGTGAGAAAATTATCATTTTCTTAGGGAAAATC